TTCTTCCCCCTCCTTCGGTCGAATTGAAGGGCTACTGTAAACACTGATATTTGTGATTACTTAGGGTGTGAGGAAACTACCCACGTCCTGCGAAACCCTTCTGCTTTCTAAGCCCTTATACTGTAGTCATTTTTTTCGGGGGGGGGGGGTAATTGCGGATTGGAGATAGTATTAGAGACCGCCGGTGTTGTAGCCCCTGTTAAGTGCAAGAAGGGCGTGAGTAATGTAGGGGTGTCGAAAATGATTTTATACTAAAGATGGCTGTCTACTGGGTTGTTTTGCCTTGTAGTCTGGAAGAAGTTTACCGACGTTTCAGAGGTATTTGCTGCCTCATGGCCCTGATGATGGATGCAGCAATGATCTCTGAAACGTCGGTAAACTTCTACCAGACAACACGGCGCGAAAACCCAGAAGACAGCAATCTTCAGACTCGCCGCTGTGAAAACCACAAATCGTACGATTTTATACTACTCTGTGGTGGAGGAATAAAGGAATTAAGGAATGTGCAAAGACATAGAGGAAATATCTTGCCGTGGTACGGATGAGGTATTGGAAGTAACTTAAAATACGTTGAAGTTGGACTTCACACAGCTCATATAGTTAACTACAAACTGGTTTTCAATCTTGATTAATATAAATTGGCGCCGCGGCGTGTGCACCATGATCCTGATATGATTTGACAGCATTTGAGGACATAAGAAAGTTCCGTTCTGAACTGGATGAAAGAAGACGAGATGGACGGGACGCGTAGCACGAATGGGGTGAAAAATTTACCCACCCGTTTGGTTCGTGAAATCACTGTTTTAATGCGTGGGCGTGATCAAGAGGTTGATTTTAAAATTAACTCGGACATATTGGTGCGTGGGTGTATGTCCGCAGATTTCTGCTTTATATGATGTCATTTCCTGTGGGTAAAGGTTTTCGATGACTTATTTGCCCCTACAGAGGGTCCCGTCAAATGTCGAAAATAAATTTAGAAAATAATTGTAAACCGTACAGTGCAAAATATCTAATCCTGATACCTGGATGCAAGAAGACACAAGCTGACAAAATATACACACACACACATCATGGCGAACGTATGAAAGTCTTTATCTAGTTGTAGCTCACGTTGTCCCTTTGCCCCGTCTTGCAGTGTTGGCTGAAGTCGAACAGGTCCCAATAACAGTTCAATTTTACGAACTTGA